TCTGTGCTTAAAATACTGCAAGAAAAAAAAAAGGTTCTCTAATTTGTGAGATTAAATGTGCCTAAATGAAAAAGAATAAATCTAAACTTACTTTGCCAGTTATTTCTGGGTTTGGGACGTGGTAAGACTCTTGCAGATCCTTCCCTCTGATGGTCACTTATTTTAGATATGCCAGTTTTAAGTGCAGAAGTGTAAAACACCCTTTTTCTTTCCTTTGTATCAACTACCCTTGTTTTGATGCTGGTTCTGTTGAATGAGTAATCTTATCTTTCTGCAAAAGTAATTGGTTAACGTTTATCACTTACCTTACACTGTCAATTATTTTAAGTCTAGTGTTTCTTAAATGGATGGATTTGAAGAAGCCATTATTTTCTTTCCATACATTAAAAAGAGTGTGAGTTGCATGAATCTAATATTCTTTAGCCCTGTTAGCTTAATTTTTGTTTGTTTGTTTGGCTTTTCTGGGTTTTTTGGCCTTCTTTAGAAAGCCTTGCTAATTCTCGCAGGCTTTTAAGGCTGTTTAAAAAATCCTGAATAGGTAATCCCTATTTACTTGCTGTGGGCTCTGTGGTGGTTTAAATATCTTGAGAGCTTCTGAGAAACTGTCAGACATGAATTTGCTACAGGGCAGCTGCTCTGGTCAGCTCGGAAATGGCAGATGACCTGCTGGTGTGAAAACACTGCATTCGTTCCTACCAGAGGGCCCTACAGGCATGTTCCCCGTGCCCCCGATGACTAAAGAGTTACATATATATATATATATATATATATATGTATCTGTGTCTGGCCAGATTCAGGGAAAAGATTACATGTTACAAGTAGGGCTGTTTGATTTATAGCAAGAAAAATAAAAAGATAATTTTACTTCTCATCCTTCATGTGATATTTAAAAAATCTCATTTATTTAACACAGACTTTGCAATTCCAAATGCACATCATCCTCCAAGGATTGTGAGAGGTAACATTTCAAATTAATTCTGGCAGGTTTGGGGTTTTGTTTCCCCTAGAATTGGTGGCCAGGTGGAATTGTTGTCTCCCTGGTGAAGTAATTGCGCAAGCTTTGGGAAACCCAAAATGGTACTTGATTAAATTGACACATTTGTGGTGAAAATGATATTTTTTTTCTTTTTATATCCTGGCAAAGGTGGGGGATCATTTTGCAAAAGGCTTTCGACGCATTTGTAGAGAAAAACTGATCCTGTAAGGTTGGGCTGGGGTAGGACTAAGTGCTGTTGTGAGTTGAGGACAGGATGGAGAACACGGAGCAGTGCCTGCCTTGGGGATCAGGGCACTCCGAGGTGGCCCTTGGGCACACTGGGCTGTGTGTGGGGCTGCAGAGGCTCCCTGCTTTCCACTCCACTGCTCTGCAGTGACATACCTCCCATGGACTGCCTCCCTGGGGGCTTCTTGGGCTGGGCTGGTTTGCAAATGTGGCTTCCAACTGTGAATGAGGAACCTGCCTTTAAAAAGATTCTTGATTTTAATTCCCTTGTTTATGTTAATGTTTATATATTCCTTTATAGATCCAGAATAGACGGGGCTATATTCAGCAAAATGTGTTTGTCCTTGAATTTCTGCATAACTGAATACTAGCTTTCAATTCAGCTGTACTGAAATCCATTGAAAAAGAGATATTAGTGTGGTTTTTGTTCAGATTTCTATATTTTAAAGAGAAAAGCTTGCAGTATACTCAATTCCACTCTCCTTACTCTTTACAATACTCCCTCTTAATTGCATACCTTATTCAATAAATAGTCCCATGGGTTTCACCAAGACTGTTTAGAGAATTGAATACCACAGTGTTAGCAGAAATGGAAAAAATGAACAGTGCTTTTAAGAAGTGCAGCATTTGGCAAAACACTCATAGTTTGTACATGTATCAAACATTAATTTTGTTTTTTTACTTATGCATCAATTTAAATTATTACAGAAGAGTATCATGTTAATGATGCTTTTTTTTTTTCTTACCTGTGAAATTTGGGACCCTATTAAATGAACTCTTCTTTAAACTACTTTGAACTCTGCTATTGTAGCCGTGAAAAACAATTTTTGTACTTTAAAGTATAGTTTGATTTGGTTAAGTTTTTGTATGAAAACAAAAAAAAAGTCTCGCATTTTACAAGTTCCACCAAAAGTAATCACATGGACAAAGCTTGGCTCAGGCATACTTGGATTAGTATGCTCGGTATTGCAGGTGTATAAAATGTTTCAGTTAAAACTGTTTTCTCTTGAGTGTCCTAGTAGGACCTTTGTGGGTATTTTGTAGCTTTCCCTGTCCCTTCATCATTGATATAGCTGGCCAAGATAATCCCGTGTCTTGCAGCTGTGCACTGTGGACAGCTCTAAGTCACGTGCCCATTCCTCCCATGCATGTGAAAAACATAAGCAGCAAAGGCAGAAAAGCTCATGTTTGTGTTTAGAAAATGTGTTTTGTTTTAGGTAATGGGTATAACATCTATATTACAATTTTAAGGTAAAAAACCCAAACCCACTGGGTCTGTGCTTTATCCTGGATTTACCAAGGCTATTCATTAACATGACATGTCATTTTAAGAGTGTCATTTAAGCCAGCCCAGCTGGTTTGCTTAGATTTAAATGAAGATCAGCTCAGCATGAAACTTGTTGGAATTACTTCTTGATTAATTTTTTTCCAGCTGGGACTTTTTATCTGCTTTTTTTCTTTTAAATTAGCCTGTTTAGGGAACTGCTGTTCTATTGGAGATATATCATGGCTATCACGTTCCTTCACTCAGGAGAAGGAGAGAGCAAAACAGTAATTGAAAGACATATTTTATTAAAATAACAACAGACAAACAAAACAACAGCAAAAACCCCAAGCAAACAAACGAAACTCCACAACCAACCAAACAAAAACCTCCCCATACCTTCCAAATAAACAAAAAACTCCCAAATCATGCCTTATTTCAGAGGAGACTGACTTAAAAAGTGCACAGAAAATCCATCTGAAACAATTTTTATTTTGTTTTTTGTGTTTATTTAATGACTGTTTCTTGATCTTGCTGTTGATGGTGGAGGGTGAGCTTGAATTCCTTTGTGAAAGCATAAAGCTGTTGCAGTTGTCTTCTGTTTCTTTTATTTGCTTTTACTCTGCCTACAGCCTTCCCCTGCCCCTCTACTTTTAAATGTTGCCTTTTATGACTTTGTAAAATTAGCTTTAACACTGATTGACATTGCCTTTATTGTCTCTTAAAGAATTGACTCTTGTCTGGCTCTATGGCTTACTCTTCAGGAAATTGTTTTTATTGTATTTAAATTGTCTTTAATAATGAAGACTTGAATTTCTGGCTGTTTTTCAGCTTTTTGATACAAAACAAGGACATAGATGCTAATATGTGAGCCCCGTTGTTACATGATGAAGTGTTTTAAAATTCCTTAATAAAGTAAATTTCTGAAATCAAATTCCATTGGCTTCTTCAGCTATCATTTTGGTTATCAGCTAGCAGCAATGACCAGCACTGGTTTGGTTATGTCTGTATTGAACTTTAGAATATGATTCTCACTTCTTTTGTGAGCTTATACTTTAACTAACATAAAAGTTTCCAGTGTGTCTCGATTAAACTGTGTTTGCATCTGATGTGCAGAACTTAAATGCTTCTCTTTCATGAGCAGAAGACTAGATTGTCTTCTTGAGTTTAGTAGTGAAACTGGATTCATCAAAGCTCTTAACTCTAAGGCAGGGAATTTACACCTGATGCAATGCCTTTAATTTGGTTGATGCTATAGAGCATCAAGGGGTTTTTTTTCTTCTGTAACACGCTAGGAACAAATAGTAAGATCACTGATACATTGCATGTGTCTTTGAATATTTGTCTTCCCGCTTTCAGTCACCAACATTATTTCAGGCCATAGAATTGCCTTTCATGTGGAAATAGTGTCAATGTATCAAGAATTTTTCTCCAGGAAAACAGGGTGGTCTGCCATCACTCATCTTTCTTTACCAAATACTATTGCTGTAACCACTATAACATTGCCTAGGACTTAATTCCCTTTAATCAGCTGTGCTGTCTTAAACATGGCAGAATCAGCAGTTGTAGTTCATAACAATGCTCAAAATGGGGCTTGGGTATGGGTAGGAATTCCAGAATTTTTTATAGCATGTGGTCATTCAGCTGGATAAATGTAGAACTACTTGTACCAAGTGTTGTTTTGGTCCTTGTTGACAAATGAAGTTTTGGGAAACAGAAGCCTTTTAAGTGAAATCACGAGTTATATAGGTCAAAGATGGCAGAAGTTCATAGTGTTCAGATATGAATGTGATTCCTATACAGAGCTTTTAGCTTTCATGGGAATTCCAGATTTAGACTCATAGTTACAAATAATTTAACTTTTCGTGAGTAGAGTGGTGGTCTTTGTGTATATGTAATATAAACTATGCCATTCAACACTAAAATGTCTCAGAGAACTTATGGATTGATGTTAGGATTTTGGACAGCCTCATACTTAAGCAGAAGATTATTGCTTGTGTCTCTCTACCATGTAAATTTTATGCTTTTAGAAAATGGTATTGACTGGGCAGCTTAAGAGCTTGCTGCCTTTCAGTATTCTGAAATTCCATTATGCCAAAGGAGTCCTGAGGCAGAAACTACTTTGGAAACTGATTTTTAAAAAGGCTGTGTTTAGAGGATAATATTATATACTCCTCATCTTTACAAGCTGCCCTGCTCTTTTCTTTAGTTGGTGCTTCTCTAGGAGGCATTCCTGTCGTGCTTTTTTTCTAATCTCTTTCTTCACAACATGAAAGAAAATCCTGTTTCATGTGTTCTGTGGAGTTCCTTTCATCCTTCAAAGTGATGTTCCTTACTTTATGATGTAATTGCCTATATGGAGCTTGCTTTTGAGCTGTAAAACTAAATATTGTTTTTGTTGGCAGGGTTATAATGTTTGCCCATTTACCACATGCCATATACTGATAACAGTAATGAAGTAAATAACTGAAGGATTTCACCTGTTTTCTTCTCTCATTTTTCCTTTTCTTACAGGTTCATTGCTAAACCATGTGCCTTAGGCCTTAAAGTCCAAGCCAATGGACCACAGAAAGCTCAACCTAATGCTATCCTGGAAAAGGTTTTCACAGCTATTACAAAGGTAATGTGTCTAACTAAAATACCTTATGAAGTGGGGTGTGGCACTGTAAACTATGCCTGAACAAAGCAAAGCTAACAGATAAATGCAGTGCTGCATTTTTACACCTCAAATCAGAAACTCAAATATTGTGGATGTCATTAATATGCCAGCCTGAGCAGTTGTGTATCCCTTTGTGATGTCTCCAGTAAGCTTTCAATCAAAAAAAAAAAACCAAAAAACTCACAGAAACACTTTGTAGATGCCATATGACCACCTACTTTTTTTTTTGCTTCTTATCTGTTTTTGCTTCTGATCTATTTTGTATCAATTTTTGAAAAATGGTTGGGGTTTTTAGAAAAAAAAAAAGGGCTTATTGTAAGCCAGTAATATTGATACTCAGTTTTCCATGAAACTTCAAAGCTACTCCTTCTAGGGAAAGACCTTTCTTGCTGTTGTCCCAGCTACAGGAGAAAACATAGAAAAGTGGGAGAAACCGACTGAATAATGTTTTATTTACAGTTTGCATACCTTTTTTATGCAAGATTTTCCCCCATAACTTACATATGTGTCTCTACATCCCTCACCATATGACATCTCAACCTGTTTGTTATTCTCTTCATACTTTTCAAGCATCACAAATTTTTCTGCAAGAGCTTTCCAATCCCACCTTGGCTCCAGGCTGCAGCTGGGCACCAGTGTAAAATTCGGAGAGTATTAAAATCATATAGGGAAAAAATGGGTTCAGTGTCACAGACAGTGAAATATGCTGTGGATCTGTCTTGCTCGTGTGCCCTACACTATTGACTTTTGTCCTGTTTTCAAGGAGGGAATTGCATGTGCCTTGTTTCTGAAAGCTGCAGGATATACTCTCACACAGACTCAGCTGAAGGAAGAATGGTTAGGCTTTGTTTGTCGTGGGGTTGTTTGTTTGTTTGTTTTTAGTATTTCCTCATAGAATGTGGTAGTCTGACACAGGGCCTGAAATACCTGTGAGTGTGAAGAACTCCAAACAAAAGTACCTGCTTTCCTGCAAGAATCTGGTAGATGCTCTCAGAGAAACTGTCCAATTTAGCTACCTGCCTATTTTGAATCCTATACAGCAAACTCCCAAGAGCTACATCAAATATTTAATTTTTCTAAGGTTACAGAAATTGCTTTTCTTAACCTTCCATTGAAAAACTAGTAGATACTTTGGTTAACTTTGTTAAGATGGATGGCAAATACTTCAACCTTCTCTTGTCTCGCCCTTTTATTTCCCTCTCTTCCCTGTGTTTTCTTGGAGGCTGATAGACAAAACTTCAGCGTAACAGAAGTTTTGCTGGTTTATATCTTTCAACAATTAAAAATTTAAAGCTCTTTGTTGTAAGAGCTCTGGTACTTCATTCAATATATGTAACTGGCTTGCAGAAATAAAGCTAGAGTTCCAGAAAACAGATTGTCCATTTTTCTGTTTGTTTAAAAAAACGTGTGATCAGGACAAATATTTTCTGCTTTGGACAATATTTGTGTGTATTTATTTTTACAGAAAACAATTCTCTCTCCCTGTTGTCAAGGTGATTTTCCTTTTGAAGTTGTCACTTTGTTTAACAACCTCGTTTTTTAACATTATCATGCACAAACATGGGATTTATCTTCCTTCTGTGTCAGTCAAACCATCTTCCTTAGTGGAACAGTTGATAGGACAAAGATTCTGATGTAGGAGAGTGGAACAGGTATTAGTGTGTGGTAGGCAATGGGGTGTTTGTAAGAGCCACTGCTTCAGAAATGCATGGCATTTTATGGCTGCTAAGCTTCACTACCAAATTTCAAGCAAGTTTCAATCCCTTTGTCCCTTTAAAGTTTTTATTAGTAATGGATCTGCATGTCATATCAAGCATCTGTCCTTCTAGATTAATAATTGTCATTGCAAATGTATTCTGATGGGAATCTGCCAGTAGAGATTTCTGTGAACGTATTTCTGTGTATCCATGTTTCTGACAGACAGCCTTGGTAAGAAGGCAAGAGTCAATTACAGTGGTTCTGAATTTAAAGCGTTAATGCAGTTGAGCAAGAAAAGAATTTTTGTGCTTCTCTGTTTTGTAGCATCCAGATGAGAAGAGGCTGGAAGGCCTCTCCAAGCAGCTGGACTGGGATGTACGCAGCATTCAACGTTGGTTTCGACAAAGACGCAACCAGGAAAAACCCAGCACCCTTAGGAAGTTCTGTGAGAGCATGTAAGGATGCATGTTCTCTTCTTGAGTCTTGTTGAGCCTGTTCTCATCACTTTTCCCCTTTGTTTTTCAAACTTTTGTAGACAATTAGAAAATTATACAAATTAGTAGAATTAAACTAACGAGAAAAATTATCTTCATTCTCCTGATGAAGTCAGATTGTACTTTTCTGTGTTTTCAGTGGTCAAAAGCTTTCAGAAATCATGTCGTTGTGATTCTATACTATCAGAGCACCAGCTTGATCCTTTAAGACAAATCACCTGGTGTTAGTGTGCTGTCCTTACAGCACTACCTTTAGCCATACAATCTGATGGAGATCTGAGATGGAGGAATGAAGATGAAAGACAGTTGGGTAGTTAAATAAAAAGAAGACAAGAGATAAATTGTCTAAAGATGATTGCCCTTTGTTAAACAGAAGAACTTAAGTGTCAGAATGCTTAAGTCCTTTCTTAGGTATTTACAGCTAAAATCCTCCTTCCTTAATGTTTAATAAATCAAGGCATGATGAGATAATGGATAGACCTGGTCGTTTTGTTGCCAGCAGCTGCTGGCCTTAGAGTTACTAATTTTTGAGATCAGTGAGGAGCAACCTTTTTTTCTGCAAGGGTTGTAGTAGTTAACTTGTTGGCTGTGGAATCCTGGGAAAAATGATTGCTGTACTAGCCTTAGAGCTAACATGTGAGTGATATATTTTGCTTCCTCTGTAACTGAGCTGAAATACTTTGCTCTCTTCCACTGATGCCAGTGCATTTGGGTGAACCTTCGGGTAGAAAAATTTATGAATACCATGAAATACTGGAGTGGATGGGATAGTAATGGGTGCTGAATTTGCTCCTTTGTGGCATACATTATCAAAATAGAATGCAAATGGCAGCTATGAATGTAGACTGGAAGGTAAGGTAGTAAAGTGCTGACAGAATATAGCGAGTGGCAGCTTTGTTCAGAAGGACCCATTGGCATTTCTGCAATATGTGTACTTAATAGTAATGACAAAACTTGTCCAAGAAGAAGCAAGATGGCATAAATAATAGGTGGATACTTCAGGTTCTGTCTGTTCACGGTTTGCAAGAGGCTCAGTGGGAGCTGCCTGTCCATTTCTACATATATGTAGTGCTGTGGGAAGGTGGTGTTATCCAACCAATTGTGTGTGCCTTGCCCTGGGAGCATTTCCAGTGGTGGACTGTGTGCCACCAGCTGACCTGACACATCTTGGACAAAATTGTTGGCACATATTCAGACTTCTACTGGGAACCCAGGGTTACCCTTTTGTCCCTTCAGTATGGGTGTTAAAGTGTTGTTTAGTTAAATCTGTCCATCAGAACACTAAGAGAGGTACTTCAGAAAGTTTTGATTGAAGAAATCCTTTGGTATGAGGTCTGTAGCCTTTTCAGAGCTATTGACTTAATGGGGTGGCTTTGCAGATATTGTGACTGTGTGTGGCAGTTGCTTTGAAGCTCTGAGCTACCTAAAGTACGTGTTCCCACAGCAGTCATGGGAAGGGGAGCACTCAATTCTCCAGGTGCAAGTGGAGAGTTTCGATAGAACAAAATGCGCCCTTATGTAATAAGCAAAAGAGAGCAAACAAAATGACAATGATCTCTGCCTACACCCTCATACTGCTGAGCTGCTGTTGTCCCTCCAGAGAAGGCTTCAGTTTTGCTGGCAACAGCACTGATTGACTGTGGCTTGGGAAGAAAAGTGAAAGAACCCACAGCAGCCCACAGATCTGCTTAAAAAGAACTCCAACTCTTTTTACATGAAGACAATTCAATTTGCTGCTAGACAAAGCATTCCTTGGGCCCAGAGTGGCTTTTCCGTGATGAAAGAGAAGAGGAGCTGTGCCAGAAGGGCTGTAGGCCATTTTTGACTGCTTTATCTTTCTTGCAAATGAATAGCGTGGGCACTATCTAAGGTAGAGTAGCTTCAATGTGACAAAAGCCGAGAGTGAAATTTAATGATAAACAAACTTGCCTGAGATGAAAGATGCCAAAGATCCAGCCCCAAACACACTATGCCAGTAACATTCATTATTGCCACAGATTTTGCACTTTCTGTAACCCTTCCCTTGTTTTCAAGCAATTACAATTCTGGTCATAGAGTGCAGAGAAACTCCAAAACCTACACTGCTTCTTGAGGGGGGAGGAGGTGCTTGGGTTTTTCTGGGTTTTGTTTTGTTTTTTGTGTGGTTTTTTTTTTGTTGTTGTTTTGTATGTTTGTTTGGTTGGTTTTGTTTTGTAATTTTTAGGGGTTTTGTTTTTGTTTTTTTGTTGTTGCTTTGTTTTTTTTCTGTGTGTGGGGTTATTTTTTCTTTTGTTTTTTTTTTGTTTGTTTTGTTTGTTTTGGTTTTTTTTTGTTTTCTGGCTTTTTGTTTGTTTGTTTGTGGAGGATTTTTTTTTTTAGTTTTGTTGTTTTGGGGTTTTTTTCCCAAATGGAATAATTCCTTTGCTGCCAGTCTTTGACAGATATTCGGGGCATGGGCAGAGGATGGTTATACGAAGAAAAAGGCAGTAATGAAATCTCCTGTTTATAGATACTGTTTGTGTCACAGCATTATAGTGAAAATAAATTACTCTTTCAGGAACCTTAAGCTGTATTCATGCCATAGAGTTATGTCTGTCAGTCCAAAAGAGAAGATATAATTTGATTATTGGAGCCATAGAGACCCTACTGGTGAGAATTCAGTTGTATTACATATCTGCTTAAGCTTTCAGATGTTATGGCGATAAGTATTTATATGAAATATGAAAAAGATAATTTCATTAGGTGGTGATTAATGTATATAATCACCAGGTGGTGATTAATGATCCAGTCAGTAATAAATGCAGCACTGAGTATTATTTTACTAGCAAATCAATCCTTGTATCCCAAGGATTTGGTGATTCTGGCATGACACCTGGAGTTAAAGTCACAGTTTATAGTCACCAGGAAAAGTATGCACCTAGTATAACCTCAGATTGCAAAGCTCAGGCACTTAGCTTGCTATATTACCTGCATAGGGATAATCTGTCCATTGCTTTTTTTTCTATTTTGTGAATTTACACCATTTGCACTCCTTTCTTCAACTTGAAAGATCCAAGATGCATAAAGGAGGAAACAAAGTGGTCAACTGAGTGTGCAAAATGGACTTTTCTATTTCCATGTATTTCTGTTGGGTTTTTTTTATTCTTTTCTCTCTGTCCCTATGGCACAGCCTAACATCCAGAATGTTGCTTTGCTTATGGCCAGACAGAATACAGACTCTAAGAATGTCTTTGTTAATGTTTGATGTGTCAGAAATCCAATGCAGTAGTGATTCCCAAAATACTTCCAGTGTCTTCCCAGTTTCAGTGTGTTGTTTCTGCTCATACTACCAGTGTGTAGGCACGTCTGGTTTTCTCAAAGACTTAGTATAGAGAGACAGCATTCTATTCTCCCCCCTTGTCCAGAGCAAAGGGAAAGAACCTGTGATGCCATAAGTTGTTAGCCTGGGATTTTGGAATGTCACCAGGCTGATGACTTGTCTATCCTACAGCTATGTACATTTAAGCAAGCTGTTTATTAGATACATTTATATGGTTTCTAAGGAGTGGCTGGAAGAAACATATGGCCAAGAGAGATGTTTTGAGTTTATGCAACATTCTGCATGTGAAAACATGGAAATGTACAGGCTGAAGAGCCAGAGATCTATTTTTTCCCCCTCTTTATTCTCTGGAAGAAGCTTGGATACTAAAGTGTCTATAAGTAGGGTGTCTTTTAGTTTTGATGTAGTGGAGAGAAGAGCCTCTGCCTTGTATTGTAGCTAGATATTATTTTTCCTAAGGAATTGATATTTTGTTTATGCAGGTGCTTTGGGGGAAGATTTTATCTATCTTTGAGTTTATATATGTCTGTATGTGCACATATATGTGCATAAATATATAGAAATACAGATTGGAGATTTTTTGCTTGTTATGCATATTTGTGTGAAAATTTTATGGGCTGTTTGCAACTTCTTGGGCATACTGTTTTTCTCAGCTAGCAGAATAATTCTCCTACAAAGTTGTACTGGAAAAATAACTGTGCAAGGGAAAGAAATGAAGACAGCTGTTTGGTTGTTGAAATTCTGAACCGTGCTGATACAAATCTTAACAAAATGCATGAAAGAATTCATCAGTCTGTGCTTTGTGTTGAGAAGTAAAGCAACAGAAAATAAATAGGCTTTTAGCTGTGAATTTTTAATACCATCAGGCTCTCATAAACCAGCTTCTAACACACTTCTGATCTAAGCAAAAAAAATGGTACTTTCGGGCCATTTAATTCTGATTTGTCAAATGCTCCAGTGCTACATGGAATGAGGGACTAACCAGTGTTTCATGACCAGAAAAGCGAAGGGGGGATGGGTCAATGAAGTCACACTCCATTCTCTGTGGCAAGTGTGATAGTTACTCTTCAGTGACCACAGGATTGCAATATCTCCCTTGTTTTCCTTTGCTGTTTTCCATGGAACAGGAATTGCTGTTACTTGGGCAATCAGATGTTTGGTATTGTGTTGATAAATGGACTGTGACATGAAGGGCAAGTAGGGAGTGGGAGCTCAAGTGTTGATAGAGTCAGATTTGTGAGGGAGCTTGTGCATGGAGGACATAGATGTTCAATGAAATGTGAAGGGAGTTGGAGTCTGTGAAATTGTTCCAGAACAGGGAAGTGTGACTTTGCTGAGTGCAAGAGGTGTTTATTATAGCTTCAGGCAGTAGAGGAGTTGAGAAAGGAGACTCTTAATTGCTAGCAAGTGGTAACTGAAGTTCAGAGTAACAAAGATGGTCTAGCAATTGTTATCTATAGTAAGCATGTAAAATACTGTCGTTTTACAATAGTACTGTAAGAGTTGCATTTCGACTGGAGTTTATTCATTCAAGGACCTATTACTCACTTAAGAGAATTATGTCTAGTAACATCACTGAAGAGAGATGTGCTTGAATGCAACATCTCTATAGAAGGTAAAAGTGAATGAGGCATTTATACTGAGACTCATGTCAGGGAAACTA